TATTGGGGTGTTTGGGGAAAAAAAAAATTTTGTTTTTTTTTTTTTTTGGGCTAAAATAGTACTAAAAGGCAAAATAAATTAAAATAGTTAATAAGACAAAATATCATATCAAATTTATAATAATTTCATTTTTTCTCTCACAAACATCACATCTAACTACAAAAAAATCTAATCATCTTCCTAAATATAAAAATTTTAGCCTTCTAAAATAACAAAAAACTAAAATAACCTATTAAAATAGCAACTTTCCAAACACTCACAACGAATCGGTTAGATGGCGAGGGATTGTTTGGGAACAACTTAAAATAACATATTTATTATCTTTTTATTTTTTTTGAGTTATATCATGTTTTTATTTTTTACATTTTTTTTTCTTATAAAAAATTCAAAAATTGTTAAAATAATGGACAAATTACCAACACTCTCTTGAGATTTGACTAAAATATGAATTCTCCCGAGATTTGAAAAATTACAAATTACTCTTTAAAATTTATATTTGCATAAAAGTTGAGAGAACAATTTATTATGTAAATATAAATCTGAAAAGATAATTTTATAAATATAAACTTTAAAAGACGGGATATAATTTTTCAAATTTCAAGAGAATCCGTATTTTAGTGGTGAGGTGCTGGTGATTTGCCCTAAAATAATCTATTTCTAAATAACTTACGCTTTAGTGGCTGCATAAATGGTGTACAGAGGGTACGATGAAACAGCGGCACCCGACGATCCAGATCCAATATTCACAATAGCACCTTTCTTTTTCTTCAACATTCCTTCAAAATAGTAATGACATATGAATAACAAATTCGAACAAAAATTTTATAATTTTATTTAAATGCTTTACTTATCAATTTCTCAAGACAAGAATAGTATTATCACTACATCTCTAGCCAGGGGTTGTTGGGGAACAACCTAAAATAACATATTTATTGTCTTTTTTTTTTTTCTTTTTTGAATTATATCACCTCTTTATCTTTTTATAAAAAATAAAAAAAATTATTAAAATAATTTATTTTCAAATAACTCACGCTTTAGTGGCTGCATAAATGGTGTACAGAGGGTACGATGAAACAGCGGCACCTGACGATCCAGATCCAATATTCACAATAGCACCTTTCTTTTTCTTCAACATACCTTCAAAATAGTAACGACATATGAATAACAAATTCGAACAAAAATTTTATAATTTTATTTAAATGCTTTACTTAACAATTACTCAGGACAAGAATAGTATTATCACATTATTTTTATTGAATTATTTTATAATTAATTTTACTTTTATTCTTTAAATTATTATTTTTTATTATTTCACCTCTAAATTATTAATTTATTCTACTTAGTTATACAAATCAATAACAAGCCTAAAGGTTATTTTAGAATTTAAAAATGCTAAACACTATTTAATAAAATATTTAGTAATTCATTTAGAGTAGCCTGCTCTTAAGATTAGACCAATTTCAACCATATAACAACATATTCATTTTTGTTACTATTTTGAACAAGCTGCACTTAAAGTAATTTGATGTGTGTTTAGTTGTAAATACCATTCTACTCATCAAATTAAGTTTTAAGGGTAATTCATTTATATAACCATCTCTATTTAAACCATATAAACTAAAATAAAAATTAAATAAATAAAATTAATAGCTTAAAAATAAAATCAAAATTAACTCAATTTTTCATATAAATTTCAGAGATTCTTATATCTCGGATTGAGCTGTCTTGAATGGCTCGAATTTTTATTTACCGGTCGACTAACCAAATAACTAGATGAATCACTTATCTATCGTAGTTGTCATCTTATTGACCGCAACTGTAATTTATTTTCATAAATGACTGGCCAAATAACCAGACATACGACCGGCAAGAGAAATTCGAAACATTAAAGTCAAACTCAAAATCGAGGCACTCAGCGTTGCTCTGTGAATTTTACCTGCAAGCACAGCCTTAGTGACCCAAGTGGCACCCACAATATTCACCCCAACAACACTCTCCATCAAATTTAAATCAACTTCATGAAAAAACCTCGCAAAAGGGTAAGCCAACCCGGCGTTGTTAATCAAAACACCAACATCCAATCCTTCGATCTCTTCTCCAATTCTCTTCTCAATCTCTTCCCCACCGACTTTCGCAAAGTCGATCACGATCGTTCTGATTGAGACTCGATCGCCAATTCTGCGACGAATCTCTGAAGAAGTGGATTCGAGTTTGAGAGAGTCTCGGCCGACTAACACCAGGTTGAGTCCCTCCGATGCTAACTCCATCGCTATGGCTTTTCCGATCCCATCGGTCGAGCCTGTGATTACAGCCCACGAGCCGTAGCTTCGTTTCAGATTCTTTGGTGGTCGAAGAAACATAATATATACCCATTTCACGAGATTGATGATAGAGCTGCAAAGAGAAATGAAGCCTAGTGTAGCTACTGATATTAGGATGAGAGCTTGGAACTCCATTAGAGTGTTTTTTTGAGTCAACTCTCCCGATGTCTCTCTCTAAATGTCTCCTCAGATTTGCCATCTGAATAATGGTTGCTCCAAACAATATATATATATATATATATCTTTCCGTTTTTGACCTTCACCTTTATTCAGTTTAGCTATTGTTTTATTGAAGAGTTTTGAGTTAATTCGTAAATTTACATATTACTCACCCTTTGTGTAGGAGAATCAGCCACGTCTCCCTCTTGCTAGCCACGACTACTCACTCTTCTCTCTCCCACTTTGCTTTCTCTTTGTTGCTTTCCCCTTTTCTCAGTCCGTTACATGTCTCTATCCTTCTCTCTCTCGACGATTATAGTGAGATCACATTCTGGACAAAGATCAATGGATCACGACGATGATCTAAAAACCATCGGAGATGGGTTAAAGTGGATAATTGATGGCTCTCTTTGTTTTTGGGCCCATTTTCCCCGTTTTGTTGTTTAAAACTGTGTCAAAGGACATGTTTCGGTAAGCTTTTCCTCTCTGTGTCACTCTATTTGTTACGTGATTAATGTTAAAGATCTTAAAAGTTTTATTACATAGATATAGTATTCACATGAAACTCTCATGATATTAGTTTTACATTCATATGAGACGTGTGAGTTTGGTAACGTTTTTTATTTATTTATATATTTTCATTTTAATAAATATGGGCCAAACACATTTATAAATAAATATGCGCTAAATTACACATGGGCCCAATAAAATATTTGGGGCCCTTTAAATTGATCTTAAAACCAAAAAAAAAAAAAAAAATTTGAACCTATAACAATTTTTTAAATTTGGGGGCCCTATTTTTAGGCCAAAATATAGGGCCTAAGGCACAAGCCTTACCTGCCTTAGGGCAGGGCCGGCCCTGATTAGAGACCCTATATCGGTAATTTGATTTGTTTAATATGTAAGGCTTGTCAATTACTTTATTCCTATAAAAAATTATGTTGATCAAATATCTTTTTTTTTGGTGAATATGTTAATCAAATATCGAATACTACTTGATCAAATCACATTTCTGTTAATAATTTTTCTTAAAATCATATTGAACGTTGATAAAAGTGTGATCTGATCAAGTAATTATCGATATTCGATCAACGTGATTTTTTTATAAAAACGAAATACTCGATGAGTACTACACATTGAATTGAACGGCTCAAATTATCGATACGGACTCTATAATGGGCCCATAAGGCCCAGCAGGGACTAGACACCAGCCACACCCTTAGGGGAAATGTTCTGGTGTACGCTACACATGGTATGCAATTCCATATAAAAATATGCAAATTTTCATGAATTTATATAAGTGATCTGACAAATTCGCGTAAGATTTTTGTGAGATTACTTATGTAAATTCGTTAAAATTTACGTAATTTTGTATAAAGTTTCATACAATATGCATTGCACACTAGAAAATTTTCCATATATTAGTAGTAATTTATACTTAAAATTTTAAATAGTTGATGGAAAAAATTATTTAATAGTTATTCACTACAAGAAAAAGCATCTTTGGCTACTAAAAAATCACATTTGGTCGCTGAAACTATAGGTTTTGGCGACTAAAAATGCATTAGTAGCCAAAAGTAAAGATTTTTGGCTACTAAAAAAATTTAGTAGCCAAAAGTATAGGTTTTGGTAACTAAAAATCTGTTTGGTCGCCGAAATATGGCTTTTAGCGACTAAAAAAATTTTAGTAGCCAAAACTAAGGCCTTTTGGCGACTAAAAACAATTTAGTAGCCAAAAGTGAGGCATTCGGCAACAAAATCTGTTTGGTCGCCAAAAGTGAGGCTTTTACCGACTAAAAAAATTTTAGTAGCCAAAAGTAAGGCCCTTTGGCGATTAAAAAAAATTAGTAGCTAAAAGTGAAGCATTCGGCGACTAAAAACATGTTTAGTAGCCAAAAATGAGGCTTTTTGGTGACTAAAAAGAAGTTTAGTCGCCAAAAGTGGTAATTTTAGCGCGGGAAATTTTTTTTTAACGACCAAAAAATAATTAGTACCCAAAAGTATAGAATTAGCACACAAAATTATGTTTAGTTGCCAAAAGTGGTTTCCTTTTTTTTTTCCTACTAAATAGTTTATTTTTACATAAATTATGTTTAATAAAAAATAATTATGTTTATACATATATTTTTATATTAACATGGGTCTACATACTATATAAATAATATATGTTGCATATATAATCATATGGTGTTATGGAGGCGTAGTGGGAAGAGTGTGTTGTATAAGGTTTATGGTGTGGGAGGTTCATGGTTTGAATTTTCACAAGAGTAGAGTGTAATGCTTTTTTTTTAGGAATGAGCTTTTGGCGACTAAAAGGTTTGTTCGTCGATTCTTTGAGTATTAGCGACTAAAACATTAGTCAGTAAATGTATAATTTAAAAAATATAATTGACTATTGGCGACTAAAAATTTAGTCGCCAAATGTATAATTTAAAAAATATAATTGACTATTGGCGACTAAAAATTTAGTCGCCAAATGTATAATTTAAAAAATATAATTGACTATTGGCGACTAAAAATTTAGTCGCCAAATGTATAATTTAAAAAATATAATTGACTATTGGCGACTAAAAATTTAGTCGCCAAATGTATAATTTAAAAAATATAATTGACTATTGGTGACCAAAGTTTTGGTCGCTAAAGACTTGCTTTTTGGCGACTAAAAGTTTTTTAGTCGC